CTAGTCCGGGGTCCATTGTCTGCATGATCATTTCCAAAGTTGAACCGTAGACGTGGTACATTCCCAAACGCTTCGTCCGCATCTTTAGTGAGTATCGCCATTCTTAGCACTACACAACAACTTGTCAAAGAGACAAGTGAAGCCCATCCTTTGACTAGACTAGTGCTAAACAATTATGGTATCTCCCCTTCTGCTCTGGGTTATTTGCATGATAGGATGCAACCGGAAATGCGAATAATTGAGGGCAGAAGGGGAGATACCATAATTGTTTAGCACAAGTCTGGTCAAAGGATCGGCTTCACGTGTCTCTTTGACGAGTTGTTGTGTGGTGCTGAGAATGGCGATACTCACTGACGATGCCGACCACGATGCAGGCGAAACGTTTGGGAATGTACCACCTCTACGTTTCAATTTTGGAAATGATCATGCAGACAATGGAGCCCAGACTAGGTGCGTTCCAATAAGTCTTCCTACCAATATGACCATGTTGCGGAAGCAAGGTCATACAACCTCTATACAACGAAAGGAGACTGTGACCACACAAAAGACCACACCATCTTGGTTTTCATACCTTCGATGCATACCTAAAGTTCTAATCATACTAACAAGACTGTAGGCCTTGTCAATATGCAATATGTGCTTTGAATTAAAATGGTCTTTTTTGGTGAATGGCTTAATAAATCTTAAAGAAAAATCATGCTTTCTATTCTATTCGTCTTGGTTAGTGTTGATCTAAGTTTCTGCAACACTATGCAATACTATGCTCACTTGTTAATTAATAATTAAACTTTCCCATCATTGACGGCAAATGGCTTTAAATTTTGTTGCACACTGGTCTTAGTTTGGATAGTTTTATACTCAGTAACCTACCATGGGCAAATTTTGAGGGGGGTTTCAGCCTAAAAATTCCTTATTCTGGGCACTTGGTTGAAAGCGAGACGACCCAAGATTAAGGTCATTTAATTTTCGACTGGTTAGTTAATCCGCTGGTAATCTTCTTCGATCCCAGTAAAAACTTGCTAAACTTTCGCCCATGGTATGACGGATATCAGCAGAGCAGGGTATCATCCTTATAACCATATTTTTTTTTAAATCTGTCAAGAAAACTCCTCCGCTCTTATGCTATTCGCCATATGACGGGCGAAAGTTTAGCACGCTTTCACTGAAATCGAAGAAGATTGCCTCAGAAACAGCGTCAACAAGAATTTTCCAGTAAAATCAATCTACAGCTGGTCCAGAGGAATCCGCCGTCGTCTTCTGGTGGAATCGACCGTCGAATCTCTTCACCAAATGCTTTCACATCAAATGGAAATAAACTCAACAAAATGGGGCTAGCTGAATTCACCCATATGGAGTTACTAAGGCTATATGATGAGGTGGCAGTGGAGTTTAAGTAGTGGATAAATATTGCATAAAGGGAGGGATTGGCTAGTCTACTTTGCGGATGAAGGGGAATAGTCTGCACTAGGCGTATTTTTATATGTTTCGTTAAAGATAGATTTCCCATGGGAAAGCTAAAATTCATGCCTCCATAATGGCCGTCCGAAAGTCCCTTGACTGACCAATACATTTGCGTGTATATCGGTGACCGGTGGCTTTTAGCGTCCATTTCCTTAAATTGACTACAATTAGGTTTCTCATTGAACCATTTGCGTTAGAACATGGACAGTCTTTTCATTAATCGATTTCTTACTAACTTATTCAGCCCCAGATACCCAGCAACCGTGTGCATCTGTGTTGGCTGATGTAACTGTCTGAGGTTCACACATTTTATGCTTAAATACCCCCGAGGATTTACTGAACATGATTACCGGGGTATCCACGTCAGCGCGACTTGAACATGCAGACTAGGTGAAACAGACCCGTCTAATTAAAAATAATTCCTTTAGGGCTTTGAGGCCATAATGCTGAGATGAAACGAAATAGGAAAAAACAAAAAAACGATTAACGGGAGGGATATATGAGCAGATATATGGTATGTGTATATGTATTTATAAAAGCTGTAGTGATATTAATTTGTGTATGGGTGTAAATAAGGTAACGATAAGGCTAGGTTAAAAGAAAATCATGAATCTGCCATGGAAATGTGCACGAAAAGAACAAAAGAGAGTTGAATTGCTAAACTACTGGTCTGAAGGCATTTCATCAAAGCTGACAAACAACCGATTAGCTCAACAGGGGAGGCTCCGAATTGCGCTGTACAGGAGAAAATGACAGCTAGATTACAAAATACTTTTTTTCCTTTCACATAGAAGCACTCCATTACACATTTATATCCAACTTACTGGTTTGGAATTTAGCACTTATGCCAGCTTGGATCAGTTTTGCATTGGTACTCACACTGAAATTATATGCGATTTTATTTGTATAAATCCATTCCTAGATTGTCGCCTGCCAGATTAAGTCTTTTTCTTTTCCAACTTCGTTAACAATGACTTGCCTTCCTTACTCCTTCCTCTCTTTGTGTCATATTTATCATTTGCTTGTTCGCTCTCTTTTCTTTGTCTCCACGTCTATCAGCTGGAAAAGGTGTTTGATTGGACAGCCCTTCCACTAGGCTGACTTCGATCCCGAGGAGGAGCCTTGTCTATTCGGCCAAATCAGCAATCCTGATGCGGATTCGAGTTGTAGAGATACAGACAGAAGAAGTGAGGGAGAGTGAGAGGGGGAACAAGAGAAGAAAGAGCAGCCCGACCAGATACATACCAAGAGGTGGGTTCCCATATGAAGTGTTGTTCCGCCTCTTATAGGCAGCCTGAAAATAACAGCTCGCTGGCTTAGTGGGCAGAAGCTCTATTCTCCAGCAGCGCCTCGTGTAGACTGGCAATCAGGGTCGATCGGCTAATTGAATTAGGCAGCGAAAGCGTGGCGCGGACCACGGAAGATGAAATCTCCTTCCCAGTATCGTCAATCAACTGAGTGGTTGGCTAAAAAATTTAAAGCATTTGAGCAAATAACTTGCTGATGTTGGGAGACAGAATCTTTCTCCTGTCTGTGCAAAGTACATAAATAAATACACAGAATAAATGAACCAACGAGTAAGTGCATGCTAGTACATCTCAACTTCATCGTGATTTCCAAGCATGAGAAAGCTCTTTTCAGCGAAAAAATTTTCAACCATTATAATTTATATATCATTCACTTACTCAAACTTCTTTTCATTCTATTAGTAGATTCATACTTCTAGAAATTGCTTAATCTATTTTTTTCTTAACATAGCTATCTACTGAGAAATTCAAATGCTAACTGAAACTGTCTATCCCTCTTCCATTCTGAGAATCAACAATATGTAGACCATAGAATAATTAGATCATAGGTAATGAGACCAAGATGATGTAGCTTTTGGTATGGCTGCAGTCTCTTTTAGATATATAGCGTTGGCTTCAGAAAGAAGTTATTTAGATTTCTGGGATTTCAATTCCATAATATTTAAACAAACTATCGGTTATAACTGACAAAATGACAAGAAGGTTTTCGGACTTGAGGGTAAGAAGTACTACAAAAAGCTACTTGTATCTGGCAATAGTTGATAGTTTAAGGTAAAATCACCTCGCAAAAAAGATGAGGATCCCGGATTAACATATCCTACGAATCAATTATAAGATGAAGTTAAAGTAATGAATTGACCCTTGGTTACTCTCGATTGCCAAACCATAGTGTTGCCATTCCGAATAAGCGAAATGTAAGAGTGCCTTTAATTTCCCTTGAAGAGGCGTGTGGAAGGGATTCGTAAGTTTTTCTCACCGGAGATTCCTCAAAAAAAAACAGTGTTCAAAGAAACACTTACACTTTCTTCTATTATGTCATCTTTTAGAGAGAAATATGACCCATTATCTAGATCCGGCTGCTATAAGA